ACTCTGGTGGCGGTCGCCTACAATTTCTCAATTGCCAGAGGGGTATCTGTGTTTGTGACTGGACGGACGGGTGGTGGGTTCTTTTAAATATTTACTTAACATCCTATTATCCCCACGCGGACGTCGACGAGGACGAGGACAGCCAGCGAACCACGACCCGGGCTTGTATCAACATTTAAAACGATAAACTTGCCACACACACACACACACAGACACCCGACCGAGAAAAATGCAAAAAGGACGAAGGACACGTCTTGTCTGTCACACCAAAATGTCACCGCGGGGTGAATTACTGGCAGACCGAGAGAGAAAAATGCTGAACAACAAAAATTCTTGGTTTCTGGGAAAATGGTGTTGGTCTGGGAAATACCCTTATAGGTGAACAAAGAACACGTAAAACACTAAAATCCCAATACATAACTAATAATTTCAGCTGATAGTTTATTTATTTTTAATAGAACTTTCCCTATCAAAATAATTAAAATTTAGGGTAAGCCTTAAATTAAAATCTTCGTTGAAATAAGTTGAAAGAATCATTCAAACGGCAAAGAATGCCCTGTCATAAGAGAAGTTCTTCATTTAGAGTTAACTTTCACTTAAATTTAATCATGTTTTAAAACTAAATAGATAGAGAACAACTACTGTCACTACTAATCAACTTTAAATAATTCTTAAACGAGGTTAAACTGATTACTTAAAAATAAAAATCTGACCACTTATTTCAGTGTATTAGGCGTTGTGGTCACTGAAAAAAAATTCGATAGAAAGATTCCCCTAAAACAAAGGCGCTGCTCTATGCCCATGTGTGAGCGGGACAACATCAGACAGGACACGCGCCCCTCACACAAACAAAGCGACACAAAACAAACGATGTTCGGGGATATACAGAGCAGCCGAGAAAGAGACAGCGATAGGCGATGCGAGAGAGACGGAGCGAGAGTGGGGGGAAATGTGCCAAGCGTGTGAGTGATTTATGGCGCTGCGAGTGACGAGGACGAACCAGAATTCTTCAGGATAATGCCGACATAACGAGATTGTTTTATGTACACATTTTCTCCTTGTTTGCGCCGTCGTTTCGTTGTCGTTGTTGGCTTTCGGATCCTGGTTTTGTGGAGGGGTGTGTGGGTGTTGGGGTATTCGTAGGTGGAGTCGGATCCCGTTATGTGTACACATAATGACACTTTTCGCTGACTATTCCCATTCTGTTGTTCTGTTGTGTTGAGCACTGCGAATGGGGGCGAGATATATATATGTATATACGAGTATGTTGTCTGCGGAGGTGTGTGTGTGTACCTTATCAGTTTATATAACCTGGCTCGTCGGTGGGCGTACTTATGCCCAAAGGACCTTCAATCAAATCCGTAATCCTCATTCAGTGCGTTAATGAGCTTCTCATTAATTTGTCACCCACGAGGGCTCACCTGATATTTTGTTTATGCCCCCAAGCCGAGAATCGAATGGAGGTCCTCGAAATGGTTGTTACTTAAGCTGGATGGATGCCGTAGCATAAGGATTTTACCCTATTAAGTGCTTTGATTTGTGGTAAAAGCAACTGGCTTGAAAAAAAAAGTCATAAAAACCTAATAGTTACTCATTTTTAAAGTTATGGTGCCAAACGAGAAAATACTTTAACGGATTCTTCTGTACTAAAATATGAAAAATAAAACCAATCGAATGTTCTAAATATATTTTATTGCGAAACAAACAATTTTAAACGTTAAAATAAAATTGAACGTTTTACGATAAAACCCATTTTTCTTAAATTCCAAACACTGTTCATTAGATTCATAAATATGATAGTTTCCCATATAACCAAATAAATTGTATACTTAACTCAACTTGGCATCCCCCAATAATTATTAAAAGTGAAATTAAGAAAACAAAGCACAACAGAAATATACAAATTTCGTTTGTTAAGTGCACGATTTACGACTTTGTTTAGTTTTGCCGGCCATTTTATGTATGGTAACAAGCCAGAGATGCATGATTCATTCCATTCAGAGTATTTGGGCCTGCGTTCGTGTCCTTCTGGTCCTGTGTGATATATTCTTCATAATTCCTAATTTCCGGCTAAAAATAATTCTAAACATTAAGTAGAAATTATTTGAAAAACTTTTCGCTCCGACTTGTAAATTTACAACTAAACTGAGCAGCCGAGCCAACGGAAAACCAAACCGGGAAAGGAGTCCCCTGCCGACCACCCCGACACCCTCAACCCCCCTTCGACCACCGACTTACGTCGATACAAACAAATTCTCATTAATGGAAGAGAAGACTGTAGCTGGAAACTGAGCTGAGAGCTGAGCTAACCCAGAATTGGTACACCGAAAAATAAGTTAAATCTTTTTTTTTTAATTAAATTTTAAATGCTGATATATTTTACTAAATAGCATTCAATTTTGAAAACGTAATGTATATATTTGATAACATACAAATTCACAAAATGCACGAATGGTTTTAGACGGGCTGAATAATTAAACAAAACCAAGAAGTTAAGAAAGAAACCTAAACTTATTGTTCACAATAAAGGAGCAATTGTTCAACACTAATTTTGCTTAGTGTGCCCAAAGCGAAATTTGCAGCATGTAAATGAGTCGGGCTTGGGTTATCAAGTGGGTGTGGGATTGGATGGGAGCCGGTTGTTAGCCGGGGGGTTGGAGGCGAACAAAATATGATTTTGACAGAAAACAACAAAACAAAATCCATAATTCAGGATAAAACATAATTCCACACAGCAACAGGAGCGACAGAGGGGTAGAAGGGGAGTGAGGGAAGCGAGGGAATCGAGGGGCAGGGGTACATCCCACACAGATGCACAAGAAAAAGGAAAAGTCTGGATGGAAAGCGGCGAAAAAACAACAACATTATGAATTACGGTACAATGGCGGGAAAAGGCAAATGAGCAGCAGCGAAAAGGGGCAGCGGGTTGGTTCGGGGGTGAGTGAGGAGCAGTTACAGTTATTTATTAAATCCCTTTACGCATTTTCATAATAATTTCACAAAATATTTTAAATGCGATGGCGACGTTGGTCGGGTGGTTTCGTTTCGTTCGTTTTTTAAGGCTTTCCTCTCCGGGAAGCGATGTCTGCCTGCCACCGGGTGATTCATGTCAGAGCCTGGCTGTTTGAATCATTAAACTTTTATGCAAGAAAGGAGCAGCGCCAGCGAACAGCACTCATCATAAACAGGACAAACGAGCGTGAATTTAATCCCTTTTGGCACAACGAAATCATATTTTTTCTTGCGCTCAGCGAAAATACGAGTATAAAGCAAGCAAATGCTCGAAACAAAAAGAAATGGAAACGGAGTTGGGAGAAAGCAATTGGTCCTAGAAATTCGGCTCTAGTGACTTAGTCTGCACTGTAAAATATTTTGGAAGATTGAGGCTCAGGTTTATTTTAAGCCGTTAAAGCCAAAGGAATAATTTTAAATTAAATGCCAACAAAGTATATAAGGTAAAAAGTAGACCATATATAATTCAGTCATAGTATTTAAATTTCTTATAAAACTTGAAGTCTTTATTTTTGAAGAAAGTAACAATTATTTTTGGAAATTTCATAAAGATATATGTACTCGTACATATATGAATGTTAAAGTGGTAAGAAAATGTTTGTCATTCTGGGTAAAATCAGATTTTTTAAAAACAAAGTGTTTACGGTAAGGAAACAGTTTGAAAACCCGCTTCTTTCTAAAGTTTTGTTTTTAGTCTGATTAATTTTCACATAATTTAGTTTATTCTAGAGATTTGTACGCAATATCCTTTTAAACCTAGTGTAGGGCATTTCGAGACGAAATACGCAGAAGGAGGAGTGAAAATGAAAATGACAGCACGAAAAATAATTCTAATCTCCTCATGAATATTCCTTTTGCATTTTCATTTTGCAAAGAGCGCCCGGCCAGAGCGTAAACCATCAACAAAAAGGACAACACCAGAGCGGCGTTGCACGGACGATGGGGCGGGGGATGGGGGAGTGGGGTGTTGGGGCTGATGCGTAAGCTGAAGAAATACGACGACGTCACTGTGGGAAAAGGGGGCTGGGGTCGGAAAAGCAGAATCAGGGTGAAGCAGTTGGCTAAACGTACAATGGCAAAAAATATATATACCCCGGCAGCCGTTTGTTATTTTATTTTATTTGAGCTCTGCAGCTACGGTGGCACTGCACTGAAACAAATGCTTGTTATCAAGGATATGTAGCAAAATGGCTTAAATGAGTTTTCCTATTTGGGGTATCATAAAAAGCTTACTCGCTATGTTTCTTCCAAGTGGATTATAGTCATTTGAATGAAACCCTTGAATTCATTTTCTGAAACTACCTTTTCTCTCAGTGTACTGTCCCCTCCCCTTCACTCCGGTGTCCGGCATTTCTCTGATGGGCAGTCGTCGTTCAAGTGCCGCAGTTGCCAGCTTCGTCGTCATCCTCGCTTTGGGTCGGCCATGGACGCCATCGAAATTATAAACTTGGCTGCTAAAGAAGGTTAAGTGATAAATTAACGCCACTGCCCCCCGGTCTCCGCCGGCCATCTTTTCTGGTTCTGGCTAGGATTGGAGTGGACTGGAGCTCCGGACGCGAATGGGAATGCTTTATGCACGAGTGGACCTTTTAGTTTATTGTTATTTTCAGAAGGAGTCGGGCTAAAAAGGAGCTCAGCTTGAATCGAATAATTACGAAAAGTGGCCCAGAAATTAAACAAGGGACGTACTTAGTTTTTGTGGAGGCTGTACTTATGTTTCACCCCCATCGAGTATCAATCTCATTTGACTTAGGTTAGCTAATTAAGGACTCAACAGCCTTCAGCACAAGGGTCCTTATAAAAGCTTAAATAAATAATGAAGATACAGTTTATATAATAACCTTTTAACTTGGTTGTACTAAAAGCAATCTATTTCACAAACGGATCATCACATAGGCTTTTATACTTTTGCTTGTTTCTTATTAAAATATTCCCGAAAACCCCGTTTTGTGAAATGGTGGAATCTTGACCTTAGTTTCTCACCGAAACTTTCCTCGATATTAATTGAATCATCCAAACAAAGCAGCGACGTTAATTTGGAGATAATAAGTGGATTCTGTATTCTTGTTAACGCCACTCAAGAGCTGGAAATGATGTGCATCTGCAACATACGCTGCTGCTTCTTCTCCAGCTTGGTATTCTTCTCCCTCGTTTACTACTACAACGATGTGATGGTGGACTACCTGATCTTCGAGGAGCACCACCTGGGCGAGAGCTACTTCGTGAACACCAGGGGCTGTCGCATGCTGACCATGGTTCCCGACGACCGCGACGTGATGTTCCTGTGGCGCGGCCTGCAGAGGGAATACTGTGCCAGCGACCTGGACCTCACGTCCTTCAGCAACTGGGACTTCAACTACCTGCGGACGGAGGTGAACATGGAGTTCATAGAGCCGCGGTACGGAGTGCAGAGCTTGGAGGGCTTCAAGTGCCAGTATCACGTTGTGGAGCGGAGCACGGACTTCGACAACCGATTCTTGTACAGCCGGGAGTTTCCCCTTCTGGTGGATGGCAACAACACGATCGAGCCAAATGCGGATATCATAAGAGCCGAGTGCTTCCTTAACCAAACGCGCATCTACAACGGAGTCCACTTCTACGTGCGACCACCTGACGAGTGGCAGCGCCACATCCAAGGCCTTCCACCCCTGAAGTCCGCCTTCGATCCCGGCAGTCTGTCTGTGCTGATCGTGGGCCTGGACTCCATCTCGCAGATGCACTTCTCGAGGAGCATGGCGCGCGTGGCCAACTTCCTGCTCTCCCTGCCGCACGTGGAGCTCAAGGGCTTCAACCGGCTGGGGAACAACACCTTCGACAGCCTGATGCCCCTGCTGAGCGGACTGAGTGGTTCGGAGATGAGGGAGCTCACCTCGGATCTCAAGACCCTGGACAGCTGCCCCTTTATCTGGAAGCTGTTCCGACAGGCCGGCTACGAAACTGCTCTGGGTGAGGACAACATCGATAAGACTTTGTTCGCCCAGGGATTCAAGCACCCTCCCACGGACTTCTACCTCCGACCCGCGCTGCTCGAGATGTGGCTGAAGACGAGGACGGACCAGCTGTTCGGCACGCACTGCAACGAGAAGGACAACTACGCCATGGTGCTGCGGGAGTTCCTCTTCAAGCTGCTGCCCCACCACAGCGAGCACAGGTTCTTCACGTTCCTCTGGTGGACGCAGGGCATCGACCACATGTTCAACTACGGCCGGAAGCTGGACAAGCCGTTCCTCAAGATGTTCCAGATGCTGGCCCAGAGCGGCCTGCTGAAGAACACAGTGCTGCTGGTGGTTTCCAATCACGGGTTGAACAAGGGTCGCTTCTTTGACACCGTGCAGGGAAAGGTGGAGGAGGGCCTGCCGCTGGCCGTGCTCTGCTACCCCAGGTGGCTGGAGGAGCGGTATCCCCAGGCGATTGACAACCTTAAGACCAACAACCATCGACTGACAACGGCCTTTGATCTGTACGCCACCTTGTTGGACCTGCGGAACCTGACTTCCCTGGAGGAAGAGCCTCTTCAGAAGCGCACGTCTGAGATGCAGAATCTTCCACGGGGAATCAGTTTGTTCCTTCCCATTCCGGAGAGCAGGAACTGCTCCTTGGCCTCCATTCCCACGGAGTTCTGCCTGTGTCAGCAGCACGGAAACGCCTCCACTTCGGATGGATATGTTCTGCGCGCTGCCCGCCTCATTATTAGGAACATCAACAAGATCCTCTGGACAACCACTCCGCCCTGCGCGACTTTGTTCCTGGATCGAGTGCTCTCTGCCGACAAGTGGCGACGCACGGCGGATGAGCACCAGTTGGAGTTCAAGGTGAAGCTGCTGGCAACTCCAGGAGCGGGACAGTTCGAAGCTGTCGTGAGATACACGGGCTATAAACTAGCAATCGATGGACCCATAAGAAGAGTAAACGATTACGGAAACGATTCCTACTGCATTCAGAACTACCTGATCGAAAAGTTTTGCTTTTGTGTCTGAAGTACATTTTATAGGTATATAAGTATTTTTTACGTATTATTGCAATACCATTTTGTTAATGCTGTTTAAATTATTACATACTAGTTAGATATTTATTATAATTAATTCAAAAGTCTGTGTTTATAGATTGTCTCTTACAGCATCCATGCAAATCCTAGATCCTTTGTGGGCCTAATTACCCCCATAAACATTAGCCAGTTCCTTCGGGTGACATCATTAGCCCATCTGGATGAGCTTGGGCGGAGCTTCAGTCAAGCTGCCAATAGATTTGTGGCTATCTGCTTCCCCACGCATACAGACAGTCCACATCATATGTTCCTCGGAACGATGAGCGCTCGGCGCTGGGTTTAATCTGATGATTTATAGAAAATTTAGGTCGCCATACAGTCGCATTAATTACGCCTCATAATGAGTGATTTATGCGAGAGCTCAGCCTGCCTCGGCGTCTAACTCCGGCCTGCATTATTCCTTCCCCGGATCCCACTTCCTCGCTCGCATCACATCCTGCCGCCATGATAAGAAATGTTTTGCCAACGCCGGCGGCCAGAAAGTCACATTAGCACAAATGCCCGTAATTATGCTTTTTATGATGGCACTCGCTCCCCGTTCCCCGCTTCCCCTCTCCTCTCCCCATCTTCTCCGTTCCTGCGACATTCGGGCCAGGACCTTATCAGCCAAGAGTGTGTGTGTTCGGCTGCTGACTCCCCATAAATGTGTAAAAATTTTACGGCTTTTTAATTCCACTTTTATGTGCAGCCGGCGTCAATCACACAAATATTTATAGTTCCTTTATAATGCGTTTTTCTGACTGATTTATGGACCTCCTGCACAATATCGCAAACCGTCCCGCCTTGTGGTCCTGCATTCGGCGTGTGATTTATGCCTGATTGACAACTCCAGGAAATTTGTGTTAAAAATACGTACAAACATATGAAACTTGATCTTGGTTCCTTGTAAGAGAAGTTTGGGGGTTCTTTTCCAAGTTTTCGAAAATTATCTACGAGGAAAGATAGCACTTTTGAATTCATGACTATTAACCTTCATTATGTGTTATGTTTTGTTAGAGTATTTTAAATTTTATATTATTTAATATGTCTATTTTGGAAATGAAAATTAAGCAAACAATTGATGGTAATTGTGTTTTTGGGAATGAGTACCCAAACTTTCACTTTTCTTTCATTTTGGATTATTAAATTTCTCAGTTAATTTGGTTCAATTTATCGTTAAGTTCTAACTTCAATTTTATTGAAATATTATTCCGCATAAAATGGTTAAGTTTTACAGTCAGTTGTTACATCAAAGCATAATTATTTTCTACACAATTAGAGAAGGGCCACATAATATCATTCTAATGCCGCTAAATCATTTTAATAAGCTTGTTCTGAGCTGGCAGCTCGTAAAAGCGGAAACGCTTCCCATCGCGCTGCTCCAAGAGTCGTTAGAGTCGTAAATTCGGTAAACGCGCTTAAGTGATTTCCACACTAAAAACCAGCGGGTCACTTTGACTCGACTTGACTATTTCAAATGGTTCCTTCTCGCTGGCAGTCGGACATAAAATTTAATTTTATGTACACATAACGCGTACCAAGTCGGCGGAACACAGTTCGACAATTAAACAGCAATAAAAGTCACATTGATGACGTTTTCCTTTGTGGTTTCGCCGGGTTGGTTGATTGTCCGCCGGCAGAGTTTAATGCCCGTCATCATCGACAATTTTTTGACAACTGACAGGAGCGGGTCGGCGTTGAGGTCGACAAATCTGTCACGCCTGTTTTGCGGGTCGAGAAGCACCTGGACTTGGACCGGGGTTCCCGTTGTTTACCCTTGTTTACTGTCAAATAATGGCAGCCTCGTAAAACCCTTAACTTTACGAGCGTCTTAAAAGTGCATCGTAAAATCTATGACCAGCGAGGACCGGAGGGATCCTCGGCGGACCGGCTGTCTGTTTATTTAATTATGCATTTTTCTTATGTCTCCAACTCGAAATGGATTCCTGGGTGTGAAACACTCGTTGTCATTCCGCGGTGACCCGTCATTTGTCCTGGCTTAAATAAGATTGAAGCCCACTCGGCCGACGCCCACTGGACGCGAGTGCATAATACTAATCTGAATTTATGGCACTCGGCAATTGAAACGTCTTAAAACCGAAAACCCCGAATCAAGTGGAAGGTAAAATTAGGAAATTTACGATCGGAAGAATCGGGGGAAGGCGTCGATCCCACGCGTCAAAAACAAAGCAAACGGAAGCGCTGCCCTCGTCGGAGAGTCGCTGAAAGTCCCGGAGTCGATGCATTAATGGGAGCCACTTAACTGGGATTTATCACCTCCGCCCACGGAGCGGTTATGGTGCCATAAAAATCGCCGATGCACAAGGATCCCAGCGGATGAGGTCGCCTGATGGATGCAGATGCGCTGAGTGGGACTCACTTTGCCTTGGGCCGCGCCTATCTGCGCAAATTCTAATTGATGGATGTATTGATAGGCTCTTGGGGTCTTTATCGCTTTCGAATTGGATGCGGGTTCTGTGGGAGCGGTTCCCAAGATCATCACATTAACCGCTTGATGAAAATACTTTCAATGTGCTTGAGAAGTGCGCGTTGAAAAAGCCGTTACCAAACATAATAAAATGAATTGTAAACACGCAAAAAAACCATAAACCATATGGAAACATACGAAAAAATTATAAAAAATATTCTTTTCAATATGTTGTCTTGTAAAAAATGTTATGCATTAGGCCAAAAATTTTTAATCTGATCTCCGTGATATGTTTAAACTTTGTAGACTCTTTATTACGCTTATTTGTAACACAAATAAAAAGTAAGATTTACAATAAATATTAAATCTCTTCGTTGTCAAATGATTGCAATAGCTGATTATTAAAATAAAAAAAGCATTATATGTATAGATAAAATACTTTTAAATACCTATAATATGTTACATTTTTGTCGATAATTTGATTTGTCTTCTTAAAAGTCGTAAAGAAGTAGATCGTTATTATAACTTTTTTTCGTCAAATGAACTCAACAACTCTGTTATTTTATCATGCCATTCGCAGCCTTCTCAAAGTCACCGCCGTGGTAAACATAGTGGCGGTGAAATTAAATACATTTCCTGCCTGTCTCCTAAACATCCAGCGGATGAGCCACTCTGGCGGATTAAGGAAAAGAATAACAACAAATTCCATATCATATTTACGGCCAATAATCGGCCAAAGAGAGGGAGACAGATAGGGAGAGGCAAAAGCAATCAGAATACTAAATCTGATGTACGCCGCTAATTGCGCATAGATTACCAGATGCATGAGCGATATTGCAGGCGAGGCCGCCCAATGCCCAATCCCCGATCCCGAATCCCGAATCCCCAATCCCCAATGTCCGATTCCAGGTTCCAGATTCCGGGGAGCTGGATGAGAATGCGTGTTGGCCAGGAAACGAGTCCTCGTCGGCAAGAGGCGACAGCTCAATGAGAAATTGCGACAGAGACAACTCTATTTGGCCAGTCGGCCAGAGGAAACAGAGGAAACAGAGGAGCCAGAGGAGCCGGGATCGGCGAGACCGTTGCTTATTTATTTCGAATTGACCCATTTGGTAATATTCATAATTTAAGTGCGCACGAAAGCCGCCTCGTCCACATCGCCTCGCTTGTTGGCCACAAAAAGCTGCATAAATTCTCGCTGGCCAGATCAGTTTTTAGTGTGGTGCCATTTGAGTTTATTTGCGATGCCCGCGCTGTCATAAGTTGCCGCCAAATTGTTGCATTGTACCTGCTGCGAGATGCGAGATGCGAGTTGCAGGGAAATCAGAGTTAAAGATCCCACTCGGATCGGCCAGCTTGTAACTCAGAAATCATTAAAAAGTGCGAGATACTTTATGAATTCGTCGTGGGCCGGGATCGGGTGGCCAAACGGATCCGCTGCAGGAATCCGGAGGGGGAGCGGCGTGAAATATGCCCATTAAAATGTACGATCATCCTCGCCTTAAATGCAAACTAGTCTGATCCCATCCCCCCATCGAGCTATCGAGCTGCAAGTCCCAATGAACTGCGGACCTGTTGAACTGCCCGCTGAATTATTGTTAACGATTTGCAGTTAATTCCAGTCATACGTTTTCGGTTCGATTTCATGGTTTGTCTGGTATTGACTTTATTTTGAATGCTAATGGCTCGATCAGTCGATCAAGGATGGGTTCCGAATTGGTTTACCCCTTGGTGATGGCCGCTTGGTACGCACTTGATATTGTGGAATTACTTTTTCGAAGTTTTTAGTTTGATTACCAGTCCTTATCAAATCGTTTTTGTTATTTTGTATACTTCGAATTACTTTTTTATTACGAATCCTCATGTCTGGATTCTTTAAATAAGTTTTTGTAAGAGCCAAAGATTCCCCTGCCAACGAAACAAAGAACTAATTACCCCCATTATCGGATTAATGCAATCGATTAGCATATTCTCGTTTACGATGCGCAATAATTTACATCGCCGAATTTATTATTATTGGCATCTCTTGATTTCTCCTCGTCAGCTGCCAGGCATTTTTAATTTCCAATTGAATTTCCCCCTCACTGTTTTACGGTCGCAGATGCCACTCAGGATGACTCGGGATCCGGGATCGGGGATCTGGGATCCAGGAGCGGGGATCAGGGATCTGGGTTGGTCGAGTCTACCTGTTGAGTGCCGCGCGATTCGCTCGACGGTCATCAGGTTTATGTGGCATATAATTTTTTTATTCCGCCCGTTCATAAAAGAGAAGTCGTTAAAATTTTTGATGACGTTTGTCAAGCTGCCAGCTTCGCCTGCATGGCAATGAATTTTTGCAGTTTTTACCATTAAATCGATATATTTATGACACTCCACTTAAGCTCCATCAAATTAAGTATTTTAAGGCGATTTGACCTGTTTCTGTTTTTGGTTTATTTATAGAATTTAGTTAAGCGAAGCAGATGACAATTTAGTGGGATGATGACTAAACTTTAAATTTTCCATTTTTTTTTATTAAAAAAGTACGTTATGAAAATATACCTTATCTACTTTTTTAAGATTAAAACCAATCTTCAACATTTTGTTATTCGCGAAAACAGCTAGTAATATTTATTTTGCAATTGAAATAAATCCATATTATATTGCAATATAATGTTCTTTGATATATTTTGACAGCATTTATAATGGAAAGCAAATAGGGTTCCCTTTTATATTGTTTTTAGCTAACCAAAATATTTTTCAAAAGGAACCACTTTTTAGGTAATAGCATGCCTTTTATTTTTCTTCCCAGCTGTTAGAAAACATTTTAAAATCCTAATGCTCTCAAGATGCTTAATGTAATTTCCAGTATTCCTTACAGCCCAGTTTATTGTCCTTTCATAAGCAGACCGTTTGGGTTTGACGTTAAATGGCATGTTGTACAGTATGTCTACTTGCTGTTCCAACTGACGTCGACGGGTTGTACACACACACACACCAGCACACCCAACTCCCACCCATTTGACCCCATCCTTGTGGGCATATGTGTGCGTTATTTCGCGCTTGTGGTACTAAATTGGGTGATAACTCCTTTTTAATGGCTGCGCTTCGCCTGGCTGGCTTGTTGCTGTTGTTCTTGTTGCTGCTGCTGCTGTTCTAAGTTTTATTTTTATTTGTCTCGCTAAAACTCAATTTTCGAATCAAACAACCACGAGGATTTCTCGTGGCCTCCATTGGCATCCTCCTCGATTGTGTCGTACAGTGTTTGCCGATGATGCCCTCGAACAGCAACAACATCAGTGTAACAACACAACAACGTTGTCATGTTATTTGTTGTTCTGCTATTGCCCCATTGCTTTTATTGTTGTTGATGACGCAGAGCCTGACGACGACTCTGGTGTGGATTCCCTGGGATCGGGATTGGGATTGGGACTCGGATTCGGATTGAGAGTGGGTCTCGGTTGGGTCGGGGAATTGGGGGGCATTGGATCGTCCTCGTCGTCCGTTGTCACAAATGCAAATAATGGTACAATTGTGCTATGCAGGATTTTAACTGGTTTTATTATTTAATTCCTCAATAGAGCCATCCTGGAAATTAACATTCAACAGTGACCCAAAATAGTATCACAAAGCAATGGTTTTTTTTGGTTGCATATCTGAAAATTCTTCACCTGAATTTCATCTTAACTTAGATTGTATATTTAACTTCTCATCAATTTCATCTTAACTAATGCAATATCATAATTAGTTGTTATATATCCCTTAATTTTAAGTCATTTTATGATACCCCTTAGAACCCTTAAATGTATGCAATAAAATAATTTACTAAGGAGTATTCTAACACTTTCTTAGAATTTAAAAGAATTTCTTCTTTTTTGTGCCCTTTGTCAATAAATGTAATTATCGATTATTATTATCATAATTACACCAAAGTCAAAAGCACTTTCTGTTTGTGTTTAAAAATGTCAGCACCCCTCTTAACTTTAATTAGCGCCGTAAAAATAGCGACTGCTGGTTAAGTCTAAAATTGTCAGGGCCACAAAACAAATAAATAAGGCGCTGCGTGTGCTGCTGCGAGCACGTTAATTGTTAAACAAATGTGCGATTATCACTCACAGAAACAACAGCCATCGGGATGGGGACGGCCAATATTGTCCTTGCTGTTAGACGGATGAAGGCGGCAATCGGCCATGGTTTGTCGCCCATATAAGCCCTATCGCACATCCCGCATTCCCACACGGATCCATTTCATCCGGGCAGGGAAACGGTAATGGGAACGAGGCTCTGCATTGGAATTGTTATGTTTTTCGTATTTAACCTCAGACATGGGCCTCGTTTGTATAAATTCCAGCCAACTGCTGCCAACGATTGTTGTTGCTGCAATTGTGCGCTGAAATTATTAACAACCGAGATGACAACGCAGCAGCAACAGCAGCAGTAGCAGCAACAGCAGTAGCAGCAGCAGCAACATCAGAGTTGCCGACGTCAACGTCGACTTCGACGCATCGTTCATCGCGTTCACATATGGCGGAAATGACACTTTTACATTTAGCATCGCGAGTGGGCCGGAAAGGGACGGCGGAACGAGGGAGGGAAGGACGGGGGAGGGGGTCGCTTACACGGACGCAACACAGACGCCATAAACTTCACTTCTGACAGGCCGCAACACACACGCCAACGGGCCAACAGGCGGATACGTAACGCGGAGCAGCTCGGAAAACGGGACGCGAATACGGACACGGCCATGTCAACGCTGCGGTGGCCATGACTGTTGCTCTGATGCAAGGGTTGCTCGTTACGGAATGGAGGGGGAGGAGGTGGTGGTGGAGATGCCGGGTTGGATCTCCGGCTAATGAATAAAGCGGACTTGAAATATTACCCCGCCGGAGTGGAGAGTTCAGTTCATTCTGTGCAGCTCCCACGAAGAGGCGGTAGTTAGAGAGCTTAGTCACCAGACTGGATCACCACAAATCATTCGGTTGCGGGCTTAGCCACAGTTATCCGTCTGCTGTAGAGAAAACAAAGCCAAATTGCTGGACGAAATGGGGTTTAAAAAACAGATAAGCAAGGATCTAACAATTAACTAACCACTTACAAGAAACATTCTCGAGTATAGGGAATAGTCCCAACCCATTTTGATGGCTCTTATATGCTATATAAACTATATGAGCTTCATAAATAAATAAAATAAATAGTTAGGCCTATGACACGTCTGATACCCACAGATCTGGGTATATCCAATATATATATATTTTAATCAAAAATATATCTCTAACCGGATAAACCTTTAATGTTTTATGTAGGTATATTAATAAAATAAGGATACAATTTTGTAGAATTTGTCGTGTTTATTATTTGTTTTGTAGGAAACTTTCAAATGCTATTTAAAGTGTAATACAACACTGACTACTATTGATGTTAATATTGACTACTATTTGTTTATATACTTGGTTTTTTTCGAACCTTTTTTCAGATCACCATGAACCCGGACGATCTGGAGGACGCTCATCTGTGCATCAAGTGCAACGCCACGATTCTCGGTCTCACGAAGTACATTGAGCACCGGAAACGGAACTGTCTGGTGGCAGAGAAGCAAATAGCGACTCCAACCACCGATGGACCACCCACCACCTCCACTCCCACTCAAGTTTCGCCGACGATAATCAGCAGCAGCAACCTGGACCACACCTACGATGGCTTCCACTTCGCGGAACCGGAGGCGCCGAGCAGCTACCTCCGCAAAACGGCAGCCGGTCACGGGGGCAAGAGCTCCAAGTCCCTGACGGAAGCCTACGAGCTGCCGTACGAACTGGGAGCAGACCTCTTCTTCTCCTCGCTGCAACTGCAGAGCGTCTCGACGGGCGGCAAAACGGGGTCGGTGGCTCGTCAGGAGCCCAGTGGCGATCCCCTACTCAAAGCCGTTAGAGAACAGGATGAGGCGGTGTTCAAGCCCCTCAACTTTGACCACGATTCCCCGGAGGCCAGCGAGGATGAGGAGGACGAGGAGGAGCACGACGAGTTCGATGCCGAGGATGAGCTGGAGGAGTACGATGCCCGGCGCCACTCCCCGCCCACCGTGCCTGCCACCCACACGGGTGGCAAGTGGAGGCCGGAGCACCGCCCGCAGCTCCGCCACCCGCACATCGAGCGCATCGAGCGCATCTCGCCCAGCTGGGACGAGCCGCCCGAGGAGGCCTACACCAGCCACCCGCCGGCGGACCACACGAAGGGCAAGTGGGTGCCGGGCAGCAAGCAGCTGGAGTACCGCGAGAACATCGACCTGACCAAGCTGGAGCAGCCGGGGGCCAGCTACTGGTGCAACATCTGCTGCCGGCGCCTGAAGAGCCGCACGAACTACGAGCAGCACCTGCGGAGCGGCTACCACGTGAAGAGGGCGGATGCGGAGTGCCAGCTGGAGCAGGCCACGCTGGGCAAGGAGCTCTCCCTGAGCAAGGACTTCGCAGTGGGAGCCGGCGAGGAGAAGCAGGAGCCGCGGAACCCGAAACGCCAGAGGAGGGCCAACCACCTGCGGTGCGATCTCTGCCGGCACACGATGGCCAGGCATCTGATGGGGAAGCACCTGATCTCGCACTACCACTACCGCAGGCTGCAGCAGCAGAGTCGCCTGCGCAGGCAGTCCTGCCTGCAGGACATCCTCAGCCACATGGGCAGCATTGTGCGGCACTCGCCCTTCCAGTGCCTGCCCTGCAGCTTCTACGCGAACACGGAGGAGGCCTTCCTGCAGCACTGGCAGTCCCGCGATCACCTGGAACTCACGCAGAGGATGGGCGGAACCTTCTGGTGCGGCTACTGCCAGTTCGAGTGCGACTCCAGACTCCATGTGGCTCCACCTGCTGCACTCCTCCCACAAGGAGGTGCTGCTGGCTCTCAATAGATCGGTTCCCGTGTGCATCGCCCAGAGGAGGCGCCTCCACTGCTCCACTTGCGGGTTGGGCTTCCTGTCCAACTTCCAGCTGCGGCGGCACTTCGCCTCCGAGCACCCCGGACTTCCTCCCTCCGGAACGGCTGCCGATGAGTACCAAAGTAGATTCCGGTGCGAACTGTGTGGAGCTCCACAGAAGTCGCGGCTGGCCCTCCAGCGGCACGAGAAGCACAAGCACCACTTGGCGAGGTATTACTGTGCCATCTGTCGCCTGGAGTTCGATACTCCTCTGGAGGCACGACGTCATCGCAGCCTCATGCAACACAAGCAGAACGCCAAGCCCAAGGAGTCGGACTCGCAGCCTGAGAAGGAAATAGAGCACATGCTAAGGGAGGTCCTGGAGGAGCCGTCTCCCAATCCTCCGCCCAAAAGGAGTAGAGCGGTCAACCCGAAATGTTCGAACTGCCGGAAAGTATTTGATTCACCTCAGGGGCTGGCCCAACATCGAGCCGAAGCTCATCCCACTGACAACCACTTGTGCCTGAGCTGCGGCACCAGCTTTCAATCTGCCCAAGCTTTGGGAAGACACACTCGCAGTTGTCAACCTTTGGCCAGCAGCTCATCCTCTGCCAATCCATCTGCGGCCCAAAGGAAGACAACCTTCTCCTGCGACCATTGCAGTTTCCGATCGCAGTACGAATCCGATCTGGTCTACCACCGCATTTTCCACACTCGACCCGGATCGATAGGGAAAAATGAGCTGCTGCAGTGCCCCCTGTGCCCCAAGCACTTCAAAAAGCACTCGCTTAGAGCTCACCTGAGGAACCACACCGACGAAAGGATATTCGAGTGCACGGAGTGCCTCCAGAAGTTCGCCAGGAGGCACAACCTCAAGAACCACATGGCCACCATGCATGCCAAGAAGGAGGATCGGATAGAAGCCAAGGCGGTCAAGAAAAAGGATGGCGATCAACCCAAGCCGAAGTTTCAATGCGGAACCTGTGGCAAGACACTGGCAAAAAAGTAAGTAAACGTCTTCCGAATAATAGCAATACCAAACCCTCCGCCAATTTGTTACCCAACCCGAGGAACCCGCACAAAGACCGCTAATTAGAATCTCAAAATAGCTCCAGGCCTCCGACTGGCTGCAGCGGAAGTGCTTGCCTTATGAAAGTGTCATGCAACCTATTGCAGTCCCAAAATCGCCCAAATAGTTTGCCATTATAAAAGTCTCGAATAAACAACAAGAAAGGCGGGAAAAAAGGGCGGTTTGGGAATTCCTGCAAATGAAATCCATGCCGGCGCAGGATTGTGTGTTGCATTAATTAAAAATTCCAAGCTGCGAATGTGAGAATAAGTAACCGAAAGAGTACAACAAAATATAACTCATTAAGTGCCGGGCATTCCGGCCAAAAAACGCGGAACACCCCCATGTGTGGACTGCAGCCACAAAGTATGCAATGCACTCGCAAATCAAGCCTGCGGCCATTCCACCGAAAACTGCAATTTGCCCGCTCCCGAAAATAAATATTTTTAGGGATAAACAAAGATGCAGGCGGAAAGACAACAGTCGGGTCTTGTGGTCGGTTCTAATTTCGCACTCTTCGCTTAGGGGAACGCCAAAAACATTATTAGAGTGGTTACTTCTAACGAGCAGTTTGAATAAATCCCTTTGGGTCGGTTTGAGCGGGCAACATTCGGCTAAATTCCACTTTTCGGTCTGGAATCGCACGATTTCCGAGACGGAAAAGTTGTAAGCTTCAAGGGATACGAAAGGGTTTTCAATGGAGATTACGAAAGGAATTTTGTACACTTTCAGCGAGTCATAATTGAACTTTTAATTTGAAGATAAAGACCAGTCAAGTAAAATTAATACAATTTAGACGTGAAGTTGAAACGCATCTATGTTTAATGCTACTAAAAATTAACACCATATTTTACTCCGGGGCTCACCAATTTAAAGGTTATGTTTGCAATAATTATACCCTTGCAGAGCAAAGGGTATTATAATTTTGGCCAGAAGTTTGCAACGCAGTGAAGGAGACACCTCAGACCCCATAAAGTATATATATTCTTGATCAGCATCACCTTCTGAATCGAAATACGTCTGTACGTCTGTCCGTCTGTCCGTCTGTCCGTCTGTCCGTTTGTCCGTCTGTCCGTTTCTGCCCAAACTAGTCTCTCAGTTTTGATGCTATCGTGCTGAAACTTTCCCAAAAGTTGTGTAGTTATTGCACGCAGTATATAAGTCGGAACGAGCCGGATCGGCCGACTATATCGGATAGCTCCCATACGAGAGATTGAAAAAAAAAAATCTCACTCCGTTGTTTTTGATCAGATCGACTTGATTTCTTCCAGATGGCGTTTTCTAACCACTATAGAATTTCGGATTCGAATTCGGATTCGAATTTTATTAAAATCGGATAACTCTATCATATAGCTGCCATACAAAAGATCGAAAAATATATATATAAATAATGGAAAAAAAATTATAACGTCGTTGTTTTTAATCCCAAGAGCACGATTTTCAAAACATGAAGTTTTTTAATAACCCTTAATTTAAGAAAAAAATTTCATTAAAATCCGACAACTTTATTATATAGCTGCCATGGGAGCGATCGAAAAATCTATGTTATATAGAAATACGGGAAATAAAATTACAACATCGTTGTTTTTCATCAAACAAGCATAATTTTTGGAATATAGAGTTCTATAATTACTCTTGAATTACATAATAAATTTCATCAAAATCGGACAAATATATCATATAGCTGCCATACGAACAATAGTCGAAAATATGGAAAATTAATAGAAAAATAGGAATAGTTTCGATGTTGTTTAGCCCTTATACATTTTGAGCGACATATTTGATGACTGCAAGGGTATATAAGCTTCGGCTTGCCGAAGCTAGCTTCCTTTCTTGTTTTTAATAATTATTATACCCTTGCAGAGCAAAAGGGTATTATAATTTCAGTCAGAAGTTTGCAACGCAGTGAAGGAGACACCTCAGACCCCATAAAGTATATATATTCTTGATCAGCATCACGAGCAGAATCGAAATCCGTCTGTACGTCTGTCCGTCTGTCCGTCTGTCCGTCTGTCCGTTTCCGCGCAAACTAGTCTCTCAGTTTTAAAGCTATCGTGCTGAAACTTTCCCAAAAGTTGTGTAGTGTTTGCACGCAGTATATAAGTCGGAACGGGCCGGATCGGCCGACTATATCGGATAGCTCCAATACAAGAGAATGAAATAAAAAATTCTCACTCTGTTGTTTTTGATCAGATCGACTTGAATTCTTCAAGATGGCGTTTTCTAACTGTTATTGAATTTCGGATTAAATTTGAACAAAATCGGATAACTCTATCATATAGCTGCCATAGGAGAGATCGAAAAATATATATAGAATTAATGGAAATAAATTGATAGCATCGTTGTTTTCTATCCCACGAGCTTGATTTTTTGAACATCAAGTTTTTTAACAACCCTTATATTGAGAAAAAAGTTTCATAAAAATCGGACGACTATATCTTATAGCTGCCATAGGAAAGATCGAAAAAAACTATATAGATTTGTTTATAAATAAAATGATAACATCGTTGTTTTTCATCAGACAAGTATGATTTTTGGAGTATAAGTTTTCTTACGACTCTTGAATTACGAATTAAATTTGATCAAAATCGGACAACTATATCATATAGCTCCCATATGATCTATAGTCTAAAATATGGAAAATGAATAGAAAAATCGTCTTAGCTTCGATGTTGTTTAACCTTTATGCATTTTGTTCGACATATTTGATGACTGCAAGGGTATATAAGCTTCGGCTTGCCGAAGCTAGCTTCCTTTCTTGTTGCAGTTTAAAGTATTCTGTACGACTCACAATCGTCCCGATCATCCCGCAAACTCTTTTAAAAATATACCATTCATCCCATCAAATCGACAGCCAAACTATCTCTTCTGGTTTTTCGCGTGCAATTCCCACTCCTGCTAATCAACATTCCCCCTAGTCGTATCACATCAAAGAAACCCATTAGCACTGCCAGATCTAAATCGCACCGTCCAATTCCGCTGCTCCTCGTAACTACTCATAACTTGCGAAGTTTTTCCACTTCACGTTCGCCTCTGCCAACTAATTCCTTAAGCAAACATTAAGTTGAATTGCAATCGGGAGCGAGATGGAAACGGGGACTGAGACTGAGACTGAGACTCGTCGCTGGGGCAGAGAATTTTCCACTTTTCAAGTGATTATTTGAAAAATTTATTAAAATGCTCATTTGAAGTTATTGTTGTGCTCGCTTGATGTAGATACTTTGCTTTTACGACTAACGAGACCAAGTGGCCAGCGGAGCTGCTGCGCACTCGAGTACCCGTCCTCAGGCAAACTTTCAGTGCGGCTCTCTCCCAGGACTCTGGACTCGGGACTCGGGAGGAGCGACGGGAACGCCGAGGACGACGACATCGTCAGTCATGTCAACAGCGGAGCGCTACACACGCTTCCGGAATTCCAGACTCCAGCTAACTCAACTTTTACGGTCGCTTCTTTTAGCTGGCATCTCCTCCCGGAGATGGAAGTGCTAGAGATGGGCGAAAGATGAGGAATGCGAGTGTTTTATAGGAGACAGTCTTTGAAGAATTGTTAAACTTCATAAAGATCCAATTCCATATCAAAAAAACCTTATTAGGCTGGTTGGAGGCTTTCCAATTGAAATACCTTAAACTTTTAACAACACGTTACCTTTATAATTTATTTAAGATCGGAACTCAACTTTGGCATAAATAGTAACCAAACTTTATTGTGTCACATTTTAAAAATTTTATTGAGTATTAAATTCCAAACAACATTTATATGTTACTCCTACAGAAATAAATCCTCTCATGATGTACAGCAAGAAATTGCAACTAAAAATTTAACTTGTTTATCAAAGACCTTTTGAACGTTTAAAACCTGACCAAAAAAAAAGTATATAATTGCTTTTCTTCGATTCAACGTTTTGCAGTTTAAAATGATTTGATTTACTAAAAACATTAAGCTGTAGATATTAAATATTTATTAAAAGAATCAATAGAGATTAATATATTGAAAACGAGGTTATATTTTCAGAAGATTGATTCCATACCTAGTAAATCAGTCGTGTCACGTTCCCATCGCCTGCTGATATCCTCTGCGGATACTTTCGCCAGCGCCGAGGACGAGACAGGACGAGTCCTCCTCCTCCTGGAGGAGAAAGGAGAAGGGAGGCAGGGGAAAGAAGAAAGGAGGTATAAGGCTGAAGTTTGAGGCGTCGCTGACGACGTCGTCGCCATCGCAGCGTCGGGCAATTCACTTTTATTGAAATGGCGTGCAATGTTCTGTTGGCTGCCTCTGCGAGTCGGATTCGGATTTGGACTCGGTTCCATCTCCTGTCTCTCGCCATCTTGCTCTGGCCAATGGCTTTTCCGATCCGTCTGCTTTTCCCGCTGCCCCTTTTCCCACGAGAGCGCTGTTGTTTTTCTTGCCTTGGTCCGTTCGCCTTTTTCCTTTCGGTTTATTTTATTTTGTATTTTAAGTCATTCCTATGGTGCATCATTCGTTTGCCGGCAGTTGATTCTGTTGATGGCACAAAGTGCAGTGCAATTCATTTTAATGGTCGCCGTCGTCCTCCAGTGATCTCGACTCCTCCTCCTCCTCATCCTCCCAGTTCCTCCCTCCTCCAACAAGCTCCATCACTTGAGAGTCAATTCCGCAAACTTGATTTTCCATTTCCAATGACGCCGGCCCGCTCCATCGGAGGATTTAGGGATTCAGCTGCCACATTGCATTCATTCATTTTTATGAATCTGCGAAATTGAGTCGGACATTGTTCGGTTTGCGGTCGGCTGGCACTGGAACGTGTTGTTCGAATCCTCGGTCTTATGTCTCAGTCCCAATCACCCATCCGCCGCTGCGGATTCCGGCATGTTGTTGATGGCCATTGGCAAGTGTTTTGCGCTGGCTTTTTCTGTTTTGTACTCGCTATTCAGCGAAAATGGTTGTCTGCCCCCTCTC